GGGGGTGGGGATGAAGACCGAGGGTACTCCCCACCGAGGGCGACCCTGGGAGCACGCGGACGCCGGCTCGCTTACCTGGTGCCGCGGTGCTGCTGCGCGCAGAGAAGCAGGAGCGGGGGCAGCAGCCCGGCCAGCGCGTCCATGGCCTCGGCGCTCGGCGCTGGACGGGGGGCGGCGCCGGGGTCCCGCCGGACGCGGGCGCTCGAGAAGTTGCTTCTCTGGCGGCCGCGGTAGCGGCACAGGCTGGGCGGGAGCGGGAGGGCGCGCAGCGCGGGCGCGAGGGCGGACGGAGCGCGGAACCCGGAGCCCGCCCCGCCCCGAACCGGGCCGCCCCCCAGCCGCCCCGCCCGTCCGCCCCCACCTGCCGCCGAGCCCCGCCGCACTCCGGAGCCGAGCGGATTCCTCCCCGCCCCTGAACCACGCAGCAGCGCCCCGCCTCCAGCTCCCGCCCCGCCTAGCTGCACCCCCGCTCCAGGGGGTCCGTCTCTCCCCCACCGCAGCACTGCTGCCTGGGAGGCGACCCAGGCCTGGACGCCGCCTCCCACTGCCCCGCCGGGCGCCTGCAGACCGACGGGCGCCGCGGCCTCGTCCCCGGGGCTGTTTGTGGGGGTCACAGGTCCCAGGAACCTGGTTTAGGCAGTTGAGGAGCGCGGCGCGGGGAGGGGGCTAGCGTTCACCCGCTCCTGGGAGAGACCCCCCACCACCACCACCAGCAGCTCCTTCCAGACCCCTCGCACCTACGGGAGAGCAGAGCCAGAGCCTGAGCGATCACGGGACAGAGCAGCTCTGCCCACCCTCGAAAGGCCGGCCTGGGAGAGAGGAGGGAGGTGGGCCATGGCGCTGCTCCACCGGCCGAGGTCCTGGTCACGGGATGCAGTGACTTCTCCGTCTGGCCTGATCAGGCTTTGTTACACCTGTCCACACCCCTTTGAAGGGCACTGCGGATGGCTGGGCTGTAACAACGGTGACATCCATGCTCCGCACCCCCACAAAGATCTAAGAATGTCAAGGCCTTGAGCATTTTCTATTTGAATTCTTTTCAATATAAAGTTCTGCGCAGTTTCCCTCAAAACACTTTTATCCTTGTTTGGTCTCATTTATTCACTTCTGGACTTGACATCAGCAGACAATAGAAAGTGAATTCTCATGAAAACACCTAAAAATGGACCAACTTGTTCCGGAGTGGGTTAAGCCTCCTTGTAAGACTGAGGACGTTAGGGGCGCCTGGGTGGCTCAGTCGTTAAGCGTCTGCCTTCTGCTCAGGTCATGGTCCCAGGGTCCTGGGATCGAGCCCCACATTGGGCTCCCTGCTCAGCGGGAGGCCTGATTCTCCCTCTCCCACTCCCCCTGCCTGTGTTCCCTCTCTCGCTGTCTCTCTCTCTGTCTCTGTCAAATAAATAAATAAAATCTTTAAAAAAAAAAAAAAAAAGACTGAGGACGTTGGCTAGAGCAGGGGCAGGTAGAAAGGGCTTTGCTGCTGGGAATTTCCAACCCAATCTTGAATGCCAAGTATCCAAGGATGGGGCTGGCTCCCAGCTTTCTTTCCTAAAGACAGGAATGGGTGCTAAGAAAGCCAGGCAGATGTCAGTGTAAATGCCTCCTTTGGAGGGTCCTCCCAGCCCCCTTTGGGTATGAAAGCACTGATCTCAGCGTGTTCCCATACTGCGTGTAAGTGCATGTACTCTGGACAAGTCTCAGGGCCTCAGGGCCTCTTTCCTGTGGGTCCTTCTGCACGCGTTTTTGGGAGAGTGAGGAATTAATCCTTCAACAAGGGCCCTGAGCCTGTCCTTGCACAGAGTGAGAGCCGTGAGTGTCCACCAGGATTGTTATCATTCCCCGCTAGAGCAGGGGTCTTGCCTGCCTGCTTCTTCAGTGTCCCTCATGTCTAAGCCTCTAGCGTATAATGGGTGCTTAATAAATATAGGAAAACGCACGGGCTCAGAGTCTCCAAAAGCCAGCAAAACGAGCATGGTCAGCAGCCCCTTTACTGCTCTGGAGCTTCTGTCTTTCAGTCCCAAGCTCTGATCTCTGTGCTGGTCCAGGCAGCCATGCTGTGCTCATTGTCACTCTCCTTTGAATATTTGAGAAGGTCCAGGTGCTGACAGCCTCTGAGAAATAGCGTTGACCTCGAATCACTAGACTCAATTAGTTCAGGGCAAACCAGAGTCTGCTGCTATTTTCTTCACTTGCCTCTTATTACCTGGGGCATAAAATTAACCTTAAACTTTCGCTGCAGAAGGATTCTGGACAGGTATCTTAGCCATAGCTCTGGGTATTTGGTGGCATCAACTTGCCTCTTCTTCCTCAAGCCCTGGAGGCAAGCACGGTTTCAAAAACCACGAAGAGACAAAGAGGTAAAGAAGTCACCTGCTCACACAGCCGACCTGCAATCCGCGCACCTGGCGAAGTTTTCTGCCGGGATAACCAGGATGTTCCATGACCTTCAGTCGAGATCCTTTACTTTCTTCCCCAGAATCTGCAAGCTCCATTTCAGGTCTATGTTGTCCCTAATGGGTTTGTCTGGATCTGAAGAATGGGGTTTTCATTATTCCTTCTTCAAGTTTTTCAAATTAGTTTGTGGCCACTTCTGGACATAACCCGGCAGTGTCCCCTTTTTCATCTTTGGTCCCGTTCAGACAAGCTCCAGCTGCCCCAGAACAGAGAGAGCCAATTCTGGGTGGCCCCAGCAAAGATCAGGAAACCAGGCCCTTGGTTCTGGGTGGCTGGCCGCTGGCTGGGCTGGAGTGAGCCCCAGGATACAGGAGCATCCGCACCTGTGAAAGGGAACTGGCCCACTTCTCCCCTCCCTTTGAGGATCTGGGAAATGCTCCCCCACTCAGACAGACAACCTCAGCCCGCTGCAAGTGCTTTGCGTTTGATCCTTTCTGCCAAGTTCCCTCTGCTTCTCAAATGAATGGATTCCATCTGAAAATCACAGCATTAATAATTGCAGCCTAAGCTCAAGAAAATTCTTGAGATTTGGGGCAAATTTCCCTTCTCTGGAAAACATTGTAGGTTGTTCCCCATGCTAATCCCACGCCTGTTACTTTTTGAGGGGAGAGGGAGAACCCACCCTTCAAGCAGGACTTTGGTGAGACTTTCAAAATCCCTAAGAAGAAGGGTCTCTGCAGTGGAAGGCTCTCCGTCTCAGATGAGATCTGTGCTCTTTGTCTAGACACCTGGACAACCCTAGCACCTTTCCTGGTACCACTAAGAGTACAGAACAGGAGGCCCGGTACCAGACCAGGGGAATGAGGATGAGAAAGAAACTCAAATTTCGAACCTAAGGCATTTGGTCCCCTTACGTCAACTTAACTCGTCCATGGTGTCCCTATGGGCTTATTTGACATGGTGGCTTCTCCATCAGGCAGGACCCGTGCAGAGTCCTCTGGTTCCAAGCTTGGGCCAGTGACAGCCCTGTTTCTCCTGTTTAGTGCAGGGAGGCTTATGCTTTCCCCTGTGGCCCTCAGCAGGACAATCATGCATTTGGCCCTGGAAGGTTTGGAAACTCTGCCCCCTTGGTTAGCCCCTGGGAGTCGCCGGCAGCACTTCCCTGGGACCAGGCTCGGCAGCCTGAAGATGCATCTGGAAAAACTATAAAAGTATGTTCTGCTGGTCTGTTAGAGTCTTGAAATCATTAGCCTGCAGCCTTTTTTGTATTATTTACCTTTTGGGTAATCGCTTTGCCCGGTGCTCACAGCAAATGGGAAGGGATGGCACCAAGTCTGAGGCTTGGGCGGGGAGCTGGCCCGCATCCATCCCAGCAGCAGGATGGGACCCAGGAGGTAGAGGTGAGTCATAGGGATCCGGGAGGGGAAGCAGCACTAGCTAAATTTAAAATCCCTGCCTGATATATTTGTGAGGTTGCTTTATTATTTTCCTGGGGAGAGAAATGGCAGTGACACGGAAGAATTTTCTTGAGGTTAGGCTGCAATTATTAATGCTGTGATTTTCAGATGGAATCCATTCATTTGAGAAGCAGAGGGAACTTGGCAGAAAGGATCAAACGCAAAGCACTTGCAGCGGGCTGAGGTTGTCTGTCTACTTAGACGGAGGGCGGAGGGCGAGGGCAGGCTCACAGGAGTGAGGCTTACTGCCGTCGATAAACGTCAGACTTGACCACTCCGGGAGAGTTGTTTCTACGCGAGTCAAATAGACATTCCAGTACAACTGGTCATGTTTAACGTGGAGAAGCCAGAATTCTATTCTCCTATTTTATGTTTTTTAAAGTAGTGATTTGAATTCTTTCACGTGAAAGAAAACAGTAAACACAAATTAACATTCCTCACAAAAAGGCTGTCAGTCAAATGAGGAAAACATTCTACTTTGGATAGAGCTGGGGCTATATCAGCTCTCAGGGAGCCTCTGGGGAGAGGGGGTTCCGCCACCAGCCGGCATGAGGCTACTCCCCAAACTCTGTGACAGGAGGATGCCGGCTTCCCTCTTCTCTCTCTGGTCCTTGATGCTGATCCTGTGGGCAGGATGTTGGACAAATAAAAACAGTGACCTTTTTCATACTTGACATTTGATTACCTTTATTAAACTTCCCCAAGAAAAGCCCCCACACAGATCAATATTCATTTAACAAATATTAATGGATTACTCATCCTACTACACGCCAAGTAATGGTCTAGACATTGGGTGTGAAGAAGATATAAAAGGTGCCCATCCCCACTGAGCTCACCTTCTAGAAAGGGGAAGATGGACAATCAGTGAGTAAACGAACCATCATTTCAGATGAATACAGGCTGTGAAGGAATGTAAGCAAGATAAAAATAATAGAGTAATTGTGCTGGGTGGGGAGGCGCTTAGACAGGGTAGTCAGGAAAGACCTTACTATAAGGTAATATTTGATCTGAAACCTGAATTATATCCTATCCCTCCTGGAGAAAAAGCCAGCCACATCAAGACCCAGGTAAGTGTTTCAGAGAGAGAACAGAAAGTGCAAAGGTCCTGGGGCACCTGGCTGGCTCAGTTGGAAGAACATGTGACACTTGGTCTTTGGGTTGTGAGCTTGAGCCCCACGTTGAGTGTGGAGATTATTTAAAAAAAATTTTAAGGGGCGCCTGGGTGGCTCAGTCGTTAAGCATCTGCCTTCGGCTCAGGTCATGGTCCCAGGGTCCTGGGATCAGCCCCACATCGGGCTCCCTGCTCCACAGGAAGCCTGCTTCTCCCTCTCCCGCTCCCCCTGCTTGTGTTCCCTCTCTCGCTGTGTCTTTCTCTGTCAAATAAATAAAATCTTAAAAAATAAAATAAAATAAATTTTTTTAAAAATGTTTTTT